GAATGGGTTCATTCCTGCTCACTAGCGCATTCTTACATTTAGGCACTTTTAGGTTTAAATTTACTCACATTTTGACCTCACTACACTTTATGGCTTCGCCACCCTCCTGATGTTGGCCAACACAGCTCAATTCGAAGTCCAAGTGGACATTCCAGGTCGGGATGTGTAAGAAAGCATGATAATCCTCTATTAGATGGTCATTTTTATTATTTTTGAGAGTTGCTTTCAATTGCATTTCTGATGTGTTTGTTATTATTTTTATGTTTGTTACAGTTTGCATGCATCGAGACACTAAGACCAACTCCAACCCTTAGAGTAAGTCCTAAATTTTCCCCTCTATTCACCCCTCCCCTCCCCACACCCCCCCCGGGGCCCCCAAAAAAAAAAAAATTTCTTTCCAACCCTTGTTCTAAAATTGAGTTAAGTGTTAGAACCTAAAAAAAAAGCCTAAATACCAGCCAAGATTTAGCCCAAAAGATGTGGATAAAGGAAACTAAAGTTGACTCCCCAACCTAGATGCGCGCCACGGGCCACATGCACTAGGTCGACTCAGGGGTTTTGGCTAGCCTAATGTTTGCTGGGTAATTGAGCCCAACGACTCTTTTATGATCTAGTGGCCACAATCATGTGAGCTGTTGGTTCATCCAACAGTCCACATTCAAACCTTTTTTTTTAGTTTTATATTTATATAATATTGAATTCAACGACTGAGATCAAATATAATCAAATTTAAGGGTAAATTAAAAAAAAAAGATCTAACAGCTCAAATTTAAATCCAACAGCTAAAATAATTAAAAAAAAATTATTTTACTCAAAATTCACCCAGAAACTCTATAAATACCTATGTATTTGTTCAAACATCCACACAAAACTCACTTTTCTGCTACAATTCTTCCAATACATCTCTATCATGTGTTTTGTATGTGTTTCATATGTGTTTTGTGTTTATACATCTCTATCATGTGTTTCATATACTTCCATAGTGTTTTATGTGTCGACTTAGTGATTTTTCAATATTTATTGGAATTTAAATATTTTTAGGTTAAAATGTTCATAAAATTAATTTAGGATAGTCTACATAATTTTTTTTTTAAAGTTAATTTAAAAAAAAAAAGAGCCTAAATTCATTCTTTAATAATTTGAGACTAAAATTTTAGGTCAGAAGGGTTGGAGTAGAAAAGTTGTTTCTGGGTTAAAACCTAAATTTTCTCGACTAAAAATTTTGGATTTTACTCCAAGGGTTTCAGATGGTCTAAATGGATAAATAATTATCTCAATTTTAAAAATTTTGCAAGGGTCATTAATTTCCTATTTCCCATGTCACGTATTAAGAGAGTACGCAATGATGATGAACATGGCATTCATGGGTCGTGATTTGAGATTTTAGGAAAGTCCTTAACTTTGCAAAATTCAACGAGGCTCCCTTCTATGTTTTATACTCTTGTTGGTTAAACTACATTCTTAACCTTTAAATGTTATGTACGGTAAAGAAGTATTTAATGTGAGGAGGGCCAAAGCGTCTAAATTTTTCTGTTTCTCCTATGCTTTGCACTCGTGTTGACATATTTGTTGACATATTTGTTGTTGGAGTTTGAGACTCTCTTGTCCCACATTGGTCAACAATATTTTTTCACTAGCCTTTATATAGGCTTATTCCTTTTTCTTAGTAATTAGAACTTGGACCATTTGGAAATGGATTGAAGGCTTGGACCTTATGGTTGTGTGGATTAGGCTTGATGATTATACTATAATATTAATATTAATTAATATTAATTAATCAAGACAAGGGCCTTGGGCCTTTTGGAAAGAGTTGTATCTCTTTGGAAAGACTTGTATCTCTTTGGTATAGCTTCAGATACATAGCAATTCGCTAGAGTTCTATAATCCAGTGCAGGTTGTAGAATTAGGTAGTTGTATCCTGGTCGAGCAAACGTTGTAGAACCATAAGCACACGAGTGGGACGGAAATACTATTCGAAGGACATAGCATTTGCGCTAGCCTCTACCTTCAATTCATTCAAGTTAGTATCATATCAATTTTTTGTAATTATTGTGTTATTGCATTTTGTATTGCAAGTATTTTTGAATAATAAAGTATAAGTATTTCAGTTCTGTATTTCTGTTATTTTATTGTTTCTAAATTGTTCCCCAACAGTTGTTTCATGTCGTCTATGTATGCACTTTTTAGTATGAAGTAGTGAAGTGCATTATAATTACCTCATTTTGAAGAGTTCTTCAAAGGGTTGATTGTGGTTTTGCAGTTTGTTAGGTGGCTGCGCTGCTGCACTGCAGGGTCGCAGAGAGAGGTAGTGGAGAAAAGATGCCTGCAATACTGAAGAAAAATTTCAAAATTTTAAATCAAGTAATTCGGTGAAAGTGTATTTAGTGTTTGTTAGGCAATAATATTAATCATTGATTTCAGACTATTGATCTACTTGGAGATGGTATTAATATGTGTTGCTGAATGAATTATTACGTATCATGCAGGCTATGCCTCAGTGCATGGTTGGAACACAGTGACAGGAGGTATGGGATTTTATAGTTTCTATGCTAGTAGATACCATGAGGCAGATAAGCTAGTGGTAGTTAAAAGGATTTTATAGTTTCTCTCTAGTCATTGGGAAGTTCGTTTTTCCATTACCGTTTTGCGAATCACTATTTTATTTTTCGTCTGTTTCTTACAGTTTGTGTTGTTTCATGCGTATGATGAGGCTGAGAGAAGAGAAATGAAAAGAATTCCCTCAAGAGATGCACTTATTATTATGAACGTTAGATAAGCAATCAGTTCCTCTGTTAGTTCTGCTATGTATTTTGCAATTGTTTCCATCATGCCTTTTTTTAAGGAAATCTAATGAAAAGGGCTTGAAAACTTTGAGTTTTAATGATAAGGACAAAATAAAGAGTAAAATGAACAGTATCAGGATTGACTTTTTAGTGTAAAAATGTGGTTTTTCATTAAAGTGAACAGTACCAGGAGCTCTTCGTTAAAGTTTTTTTTTTTTTTTTTATTCGATTATGTTGGTACCACGGCTATGTATTTTTCAGTGAACCTTTTTATTTCTCATGCCTTTATATCGAGGGAATGGTATTATTATATTAATGGAGATCCTAATTTTGTGAAGGTTTAGTTCTTGATCTTTCTTTTAATGTACTATGGGCTTTTATTTTACTTTTTATAGAATATTTTGTGGCTTATGGTAGTAGTTGGTGAGGGACCTCAGTTTCACAAGGTTTGCATTGGAAGACATCCTGGAAGCTTTCCTGAATATATAGTCGAGATTGGTTTGTGCATTGTTTTTTGTTTTACGGATTCTTGTCTTTGCGATCTTTCATTCTTGAATTGGCCAGCAGGAAATATTATGGTTAATTTTAACCGATGAGGTTGCTGATGACAAATGGAAGCAGAGATGAATCTACAGAGGGACCTGGGAGGTCCCAGGACCCCTCGGCCATCCTAAAATGCTGCTAGAAATTTTCCAGAGGACCCCTCGTACTCGAACACGAGGCCTGTGCAGACTGTCTGTGTTGCTGCAGCAGTAGGTTGCAGGTTGCAACGGAGAAGAAGACAACAGGGGAGAAGAAAGAAAACAGGGCATTTAAAAAAATTGGTCCAATACGCAGTGTTTTGGCCCTATTTTTTCCTTTTTTTTTTTTTTTTTTTTTTTTTTTTTTTTTTTTGTTAAACCAATGAGACAAACGTTTGCAATTGGTCCACCATTTGCAACATGATTACATAATCTTTTTGAAAGTCTAGCCCCACATGAATGTCCCGAGAGTCCCTTTCACTTCTCCTTTCCCTGTTCCACTGCTTTTCCCCCTAATCCCCCCATCTTCCTTATATTCACCCAAAACCCTAAATTTCTAATCCCACCCAATCCCATATTATAATTACATTACTCCAATATTATACCTCCACTTGTTTCAATTCTCCAAGCCACCACTATTTGGTTCCAAATTCAAGTAAGTTTTTTGGTATTCTAATCTAATCTCAATTAAATTATATTAGATATTGGTGGAGATTTTTAGTCTATTATTGATATGATTGTTGATATGTTTTATGTTTGTATACTCATTTTATAATTGAAATTTAGATGGAATTTTTGTTTATTGGTTGATTGATATATGTTTTGTGTTTTTGGTTAAATGTGTAGTTTAGAAATAAGAAATATGGAAAGATTTTTCAAGCCAAAGCCAATAGCACCATCTACTTGTTCGGGTAGTTCGAGCTCAAGACAAAATGAGTGTGACATTGATTTTAATAATCTTGAGAGAGACCCGGGAAAAAGAATTCGAATGAAGGACTATCCTTCTAATATTCAAGATGAGATCCGCAGAGCATATTTGCAAATGGGACCTTGTAGGCCTACAAAGTATGAGTTCCCATACACTTTGCATGCAAAGAAAAAGCGACGATTTGTTGTTTCGTGGTTTGAAGAATATGATTGGTTGGAGTATAGTATATCTAAAGATGCGGCATTTTGTCTTCATTGCTATCTCTTTAAAATCAACTTTTCACAATTAGGAAGCGATGCCTTCACTGGGGTAGGCTTTAAGAAATGGAAGAATGCAAGAGAATGTTTTGACAAACATGTTGGTCCTATTGGTAGTTTCCACAATAAAGCTAGAGAAGCGGCTAGTTATCTAATGAACCAAAAGACACATATTGAAGCAGTTGTGATCAAACAATCAAAAGAAGAGTGTATGAAATATCTTCTTTGCTTGAATGCATCAATAGATTGCACTAAGTTCTTGTTGCGACAAGGCCTTCCTTTTCGTGGCCGCGATGAAAGTGACACTTCGAATAATAGGGGGAATTATTTAGAGCTCTTGCAATTCCTTGCGGATCATGATGAGAAAATAAAGGAAGTTGTGTTGGAAAATGCTCCGGGAAATCTCAAGCTAATAGCTCCTTCAATTCAAAAAGATATTGTCAATTCATGTGCCTTCGAAACTATTAAGGCTATTATGAAAGAAGTGAAAGAGAGTAAATTCTTTTCTATAATGGTAGATGAATCACGTGATATTTCAACAAAGGAGCAAATGGCGGTGATTTTGCGTTATGTGGACAACAAAGGTCAAGTAATTGAAAGGTTTGTGGGAGTCCAACATGTTACCGAAACAACTTCAAGTAAACTAAAGGAGTCCATTGATGAGTTCTTGAAACTACATGACTTGAGCTACTCCAACCTATGAGGTCAAGGTTATGATGGTGCGAGTAATATGAGAGGTGAGTTCAATGGCCTTAAAAAAAAAAATTGGATGAAGAAAGTTGTACATTCTATGTTCATTGTTTTGCTCATCAACTACAATTAGCTCTTGTTGCCGTAGCAAAGAAAAACTCCGATGTTGCTGCTTTTTTCACATTGACTAATAGTTTGGTAAATGTTGTTGGATGCTCATGTAAGCGTCGTGATGCACTTAGAGAGAAACAACAAGAAAATCTCTTGAAAACTATTGAAAATGATTGTCTTGAAATGGGGCAAGGGTTAAATCAAGAAACTAGTCTCAAACGTGCTGGGGATACACGGTGGAATTCACATTATGGTGCTTTGATTAGTTTGATTACAATGTTCTCATCTGTGGTGGATGTGCTTGACATGATTGTTGAAGATTGCTACAATGATAGTGCTGGTGAAGCAAAAAGGTTATTAAAAGATTTACAATCTTTTGAGTTTGTGTTCCTCCTCTTTTTTATGAAATCCATATTAGGAGTTACAAACGATTTGTCACAAGCATTGCAAAAAAAAGATCAAGAGATTGTGAATGCAATGGCTTTAGTCAAGACATGTAAAGAACAACTACGTTGCATGAGGAATGATGAAAATTTTGATCTTTTGGTTGATAAAGTATCATCTTTTTGTGTTGAACATGAAATTGAGGTGCCTAATATGGATGATTTATATGTCATTCAAGGGAAGTCATTGCGTAAGGCTCCAAGAAAGATCAATCATCATCATTACAAAGTGGAGCTCTTTTTCGAGGTCATTGATTTCCAACTTAAAGAATTAGATGATCGCTTCGCTGAAGGTAATACCGAATTGCTTATTTGCTTGGCATGCTTGAGTCCGAATGATTCATTTGTAGCTTTTGATAAAGAGAAGCTTGTTCGCCTTGCTCATATGTATCCTAAAGATTTCACGGATTGAGATAGATCGGCACTTCAAGATCAACTTGATATTTACATTCATTTTGTGCGTTCTGATAATGATTTTTCTCAATTGCGGGGAATTAATGAGCTTGCTAAGAAAATGGTGGAGAAAGGGTTGCATCGAACATTTGCATATGTATATTTGCTTATTCAGTTGGCTTTGGTTTTACCAGTTGCAACTGCTTCAGTGGAGAGGGCATTTTCCGCTATGAATATCATTAAGGGTCCACTTCGCAACAAAATGGGAGATCAATGGTTGAGTGACAGCTTAGTTGTTTACATTGAGAAAGATGTTTTTTCATGTATTGGTAATGAAGCTATCATGGAACATTTTCATACCATGAAACCTCGTCGTGGACGCTTGAATTAGGATTTTATAGCTTGTAATATTGTTATGCAAATGATTTTTGAATAAAATGTATTATATTTAACTTTTCAATGTTATTTTTGTCTATAAATTTTTTAACCTTTATTATTGGGACCCCCCGAGTTTAAAATCCTGGATCCGTCACTGGATGGAAGGAAGACCGAATTCTGTTCGTAGATGCAAGGTAGAAATTAAGCCACACAAACATGAAGTTTTTATATGTTTTCACTTTCTGAAATTAGAGCTTTCCACATCAACTGAAAGAATTGATCGAATATCTTGGAACTCTGTGAAGTTACGCTGTAATTACGTGATTTGATTGGTATTCTTTTGTTCTCTCTCAGACGAAGAAGCTTAGTGACTACACTGCCATGAATTGCTGGCAAATTAGATTTTTATTCAAGATTGCTGAATCTAAGAGGCAGATTTTGAAGTACTTGCAATGCATAGTGTTTTCTCAGTTAGGAATCGTCTTGTATGTGTTTCTGGAATATGCATTAGTTTTTGCTTGTGTCCTCAGGTTATTAACCAAGGATATGTGTATGGGTATTTTAGTCATATTGTGCATAGCTGTGGTTAAGGTGATTAGCTGTCTTAGTTAATAAGTTTTGACAGCTGTAAGTTTGTTTTAGGCTTTTAGGTATATATATCACTGTAAAGGATAGATTTTATTGATTCAGTTAATACAACAACTTCTTCCTCAAGATACAATTTTCTCTCTACTCTGATATTTGTTGTTCTTCATTCTCATGTTTTCTTGCTGTTTGATGGAGATTTTATGGCTTAATCTGCCATGCTTATGATGGTATCCAGAGCCAAGGTTCAATAAACGGGTGAAGAGAATCCTGGTTTGCTCATCAGGCTTAAGGTTTTTCTGCGGTGTCTCTGAGCTGTTTGTGCACGGCATCTTGATCTGCTTGGATTGGGATCTTTGATCTTTGTTGCGACATCAGGTTTTTCTGCTTTGATCTTCGAAATTGAGTTGTTTCTTAGTATAATTGTGGAATTCTTGCCTCGTTGTTATGAGAATTTATGGATCTGTGGCTTGATGTGATAATTTCTAGGGCACGAAGCCTATAATTGTTTTCTAGGGCACGAAGCCTATAAGTGTTTGATTTTATCAATTTGCAAAGTCTTGATTGTTTTCTGAGCACGAAGCTCCTTGATTACTGGTGATTGATTGGAGCACGAAGCTATTGATTGTTTCTTGATTGTTGACGACTGATTGTTCTGAGCACGAAGCTCCTTGATTACTGGTGAGTGAGTTGAGCACGAAGCTCTTGATTGTTTCTTGATTGTTGACGGCTAATTGTAAGTGAAAATCGTGATAGTTTCCTGATTTGTGTTGCGTATGAACTTACGGTGTTCTTGAAATTTTTTGGAGTTATGGCGATGAATATGATAAAGGTTGAAAGTCTACTTGGAATGTTAACAATTAGACTCCAGGAGGATAATTTTGTGAAGTGGTCATTTCAGTTTAGATCTGTTCTTGAAGGAAGTGATATGTTTGATCATTTTGATGGTACCTCTGTCTGTCCACCAAAGTTTGTCTTTACTGAAGAGAGTGGTATAACGACTGAAGTTACAACAGCTTATAAAGAGTGGATTAAAAGAGACAGGGCTCTTGTGAGTCTATTGCTTGCTACTTTGGGGAATATGTTGTAGGCTGTAAAACTGCACATGAAGCTTGGATGAATTTGCAAGATAGGTATGCTACTGTTTCGAGAACAACAGTTAATCATCTCAAGACTGAGTTACTGATAATTAAGAAAGGTTCTGATAGTGTTGAGAAATACATGTTGCAAATCAAGGTTCTTAAGGACCAACTTCTTGCAGCAGGAGAAGTTGTATCTGAAAATGATCTTATTGTTGCTGCTTTGGCTGGATTGCCAGTAGAATTTAACATGATCCGTATTGTGATTGTGGCTCGGGAAACTCCTATTTCTCTTAAAGAGTTTTGAGCTTAATTGTTAGCAGCAGAGAGGACTGCTGAAGATTCACAGTCTACTATGAATTTTCCTATGTCAGCTATGTATTGCCAAGGTGAATCTTCCAATGCTAGTTCATCACAGAGTCAAAGATTGTCTCAACAATTTTTTGGTGGTTATGGTTTTGTCAATGGTGCTAAAGCTAATTCTCAGAATACTACTCAACGACCAACAGGGGGAATTGTGTCTCAGGCTTCTCTACCTCAGTTTCATCAACACAATAATGCACATTCTCAGCATAACAGGAGCTATCAGAATTATGGAGGTAACAATGGAAGGTTTAACAACAGGCCAAGGTATAATAGGAACAATAATGGCAGGTTTTCAGGGAATTCTAATTTCTTTGCTAGAAGCCCAAGTCATAATGGAAGCTCTAATTTTGGATCTAAAGGTGGTTCAACGTGGCAGAATTGGAATGGCAATACTGGTTCCAGACCAACATTGATTCCTGAATGTCAGATTTGTAATAAACAAGGCCATACTGCTCCTAATTGTTACTCACGGTATGATGCAAGTTCCAGTTCAGCTCTTCCAGTTATGGAATGTCAAATTTGTGGAAAAAGAGGGCATACTGCTCTCAACTGCTACCACAGAGGCAATAATGCATATCAAGGTGCTCAACCATCTCCTTCTTTGACTGCTCTTACTGCCCAAGCTCAACAGCATTTTGGTTCTTCATCACAGCCTAATTGGGTGTTAGATACAGGAGCTACCCACCATATGACTGCTGATCTTGACAATTTGACACTTGCGACACCTTTTGAGGGCAATGACAGGATTACAGTAGGCAATGGAGAGGGACTTCCTGTTGCTAACACTGGTTTGGGTTCTCTTTTAACCTCTTCTAAACCTTTAACTCTTCAAATGGTTTTACATGTTCCACAGTTAGCAGCTAGCTTATTATCAATTTATAGACTATGCAAGGATAATCATTGTTATGTTATACTTGATGAATTTGGTTTTTGGGTGCAGGACAAGGCAACCAAGAAAATCCTAATGAGAGGAAGGAGTAATAGTAGTGGTTTGTATTACATTCCTCAGCAGCATTTCTACAAATATTCGCAGCTAATGAATAATACACCTCAAGCTTTGTTGGGGCAACTTGTCAAGACATCTCTCTGGCATCATCGACTTGGGCATCCCACCAATGAGGTTCAACTCAAAGTGCTTAAAGACTCTTAGATTTCTGTTTCTGTAGATAAGAGTCCACATTTGTGTTCAACTTGTATTAAGGGTAAGATGTCTAGACAACCCCTTCCTTCTAAGCGTAATAAGTTAAGTATTCCTTTTGAAAAGGTGCAAACTGATGTATGGGGATCTTCACCTACTGTTTCTGTGGAAGGTTACCAATATTATGTAATTTTTGTCGATGAATGCACAAGGTTTACTTAGATATTCCCACTTGTTAATAAGTCTGATGTGTATACTGTCTTTGTGAAATTTCATGCCTTTGTTCTGAATCATTTCAAAACAAATATTAAGACTTTACAATCTGATGGAGGAGGAGAGTACATGAGTAAAGTGTTTAAGAATTTCTTGGATACCAATGGTATTTTACATCTTGTCTCTTGTCCACATACCCCTCAGCAGAATGGTCTTGCAGAGAGGAAAAATAGGCATATTGTTGAAACTACTGTGACATTACTTAGTGTTGCTTATTTGCCTCAACAGTTCTGGTTTCATGCGTGTAGTCATGCAGTATTCTTGATCAATAGAATGCCAAGTCAGAATTTAGCAATGATATCACCCTATATGAAGTTGTTTGGTCAATCACCTTCTTTAGGGTCATTAAAGGTTTTTGGTTCTGCAGTTTTTCCTTATTTGAGACCTTATAATGTCAATAAGCTATAAGCACGAAGTGATGAATGTGTATTTTTGGGATATTCAGTAGGTTACAAAGGAGTATTGTGTTTTAATATACCTACAAAGCGGTTATTGTTGTCAAGACATGTTATTCATGATGAAAGTGTTTTTCCTTTTAAGACATCACAGTCCATAAATACTACTTCCTCTGTGCCTACTTCATCAACCCAAAGGGAGTTATCTAGAGTAGTTTCTGGTGTGTTGCCAAATGGATCTGAGCAACATGGGATGAATAATGTGGTCAATGCTCAATCCATGGATCTGCATTCTGTTTCTTCTCAATCTTCTGGTACACTATCAGGTTCAGAATTGTTACCATTACAAGCTACTACTACTCTCCATCAAACTTCTTCTTCTCCAAGGTTGCCTGTCCCTAACCCTTCCCAAATTCAGGTAACTTCCAACTCTGAAGATCTATCTCCTAATGTTTGTTCTACATATGATCATATGGTTATTCCATCTTCTGTTTCTCTTGATGATGTGGCTGGTCCATCTTCTATTTCTCTTCATGATGTCAATGATCATGGGGTTAATAATGATGTGCTTAATGTGCCTTCTGAGCATAATATGATTACAAGATTAAAAAGTGGAGCTATACAAAGGAAGGATTATTCTGGTTATTGTGCTTTTGTCTCTATGAGTCCAGCTTCTTCTTCTTCTCCAGATTCTTCTTCTTTTTCATCTGGTGATGATATTGTCTTTAGTGGTTTGACTGCTATACTAGATATTCATGAGTCTTCAGAACCAACTCATTACAAGCAAGCTGTTACTTCGGAGCAT